TTGAAGAGTAAAGTGTAGGTCAGCTTTTAATTTTTTTTCCCTTCCAATTTTATTGGTTTTATAGCAAGTTTACAAAAACAGAAAATAAGAATACAAAGATACAAAAAATAAATGAAGCAAAGAAATGCTGAAGTTAATTAATAAACCTCACACACACCTAAACAAACAAACAAACAAATCAAAGAAATAGAAGAGAGAGAAAGAAAGAGCTGATAACGTGGAAATATTTCTATCTTCAGGGGCAAAGAAAGTGTTTAGTAGGTGCTCTTGCTGAGTCTTCAATTATTATAGTTTTAATCTTCTCCCCAAAATTCAGATGAACATCAAAGAAAATATTTTTTTAACCCACTTGTAAATTATCTCACAAAGCCACACCCTCTGCCTGTTTATCACACAAACACACACACACAGTCCCTACATACCTAATATATATTCCTGTGACCAACGTATTTTCAGTTCTTTTTGCCCTCTGCGTATACATCATTATGTTCTGAATGCAACGTTCCTGCTCTCCAATAATTAAATCATGACAGCAGATTAATTGGATTTAAATTCCAAATGACTACAAAAGCAGAGAGAGGAGTCAGTAGTCTTTCCTAATGGGATGGTTTATTCAGAGCATTTCTCTGACTGACATATAGAACCGGGTTATACATATTTATACTTAATTAATTGAGGGTTGCCCTTTCTCTGTAATGCTGCCCTGAAGCATTAAGGTATTGAGAAATAAAAGTCAAAAAGGGAGAACATTTTATTAGAAACGGGATGATCTCCCAATCCCAGGCCCTCTGCAGAATGCCTGAAAAAGAAATCTTGTTATCACTTGGCATGTAGTTTCGCAGAGGATGAAGAAATGGTTGAAGTAATGGCTCTGTAAAAGACATGTCTGGTTTAAAATGTGATGCAAACAGACTTCTAGATAAGCTTCTCATTGAATACGGCTCCATAGTTTTGTTTAACTAAATGAATCGTAAAACTCCACCCGACTGCTATGGTTGAGTTTTTACATGGGTCTCTTGACTTCTCTGAAAGGATCATTCTAGAAGTTTTAGGAAAGAAGCCTTTGCCGGCTTAGATTCAGAAAGTTGAAGTCCCATATTCTGGAAGAGGCCAGATTGCAGGCAGCCTTATTTATGTCAGTATGTATGTATGCATGACGCTCATCTCAACCAAGTGATTCTAGGAAGCTGACGGACATCCAATTAAAATGCATTATAAAACATTAAAACAATAAATAACAATTATACATTTAAAATTCAATTAAAATAAAACAAACTAGGCTGGAGAGGAAGAAAGCAAAGTACGGTATGAACAGGAAGGAGGTAAGAGTAATCTCTGGTCCGTTAGCCACCTCCAAAGTGCCCCACCCCCAGTGGGGCCCCAGGCTATTTGGCACAAGAAAAGATTCTTCTGGACCCTGGCAGCCAAAAATCCTTGGCTGACGGGATCCCCAGCATGTTCCTTCTGCTGGTGCAGGTGGGTAGGTTAATCCCATCGGGGTTAGCCAGTTTCTCAGCCAGTCTGGACCCATGTCATGCAGGGCTTTGAAGGTGATAACCAACACCATGAATTGAACCCAGAAGCAAAAATTACATTTGAGTCGAAAAGCCACCTTCCAAAAAAATAATGGGGCTAGAGTAAAAACCCAGTTTAATTTGAATGTAATTAAAATTAAAATTAGTTTCTTCACATAAACTAGAATTGTTTTGACAATATTTTTTAAAGGTATCTGCTTATAAATGATACACAGCAGTAGTGCCATCTAGCGGTCACAAACATATTAACAGTTTGGGGAAAAAAAGATTGAAAAGCAATGGAAAAACCTAAAACTTTTTTTTTGCCACATCTTATACCTTTATACTGGAAATGGACATATATTGTGCAAATACATATGAATGCAACCTCTAAAGGAGTTCACTGATATACATATGGTCATCCACAAAATTTTAGACCTAAGCTGTTTAGGGTGTAATACATGGTACATTGGTCTCAGAGTTCAAATAGCAGAATATGTATAAATAGGTAATCTAGGACAAGTGTTTTAGGCCAAAAATTATATTTGAGTGGAAAAGTCACCTTCTGAAAAATAATGGGGCTAGAGTAAAAACCCAATTTAATTTTTTTTACAACTGAATGTAATTAAAATTAAATTCATTACATGCAATTAACCTCCACATGGAAGCCTCCAAGGTGGGTTCAGGCAGTGATAAATTCTTCACTACAGGAGGGGATGTTTCTGGGACCTTTTAAGGAGCCCGATTTGCCCTTCCTTAAAAAAAACACACCTCTTAATCCTATCTGTCTGGATAATTTTTGTCTAGTCCCTCACCTTCCCTTATTGGGGAAAATGGTAGAGAAGATGATTGCTTGGCACCTACAGAGGGTCTTGAATGAAACAGATTATCTACATCCCTTCCAGTCAGGTTTAAGGCCCAGTTATGGGACAAGAAACAGCACTGGTCTCACTTGTGAATGAGCTAGAATGGTGGTTGTGCACCCATCCTTGCTTTCCTTGATCTTTCAGTGATTTTCAGTTCCATTGATCATGATACCCTTTTGAGCTGGCTACATGGTTTGGGGCTGGGCAGCACAGTCTCGCACTGGTTTGGCCTTCTTTCTCCAAGGCCAGTGCCAGTCGGTGTTGATAGGGAATGAGAGGGTCCAGTGCAGCACGTGGAACAATGGTGTAACTTGAGCCACTCTAGGGACCACAAGAACTGCCCGTGAAGCTGCATTCTGCACCAGCTGAAGCTTCCAAATGCTCTTCAAGGGTAGCCCCAAGCAGAGCACATTGCAGTAGTCCAATCATGAGATAACCAGGGCTTGAGTGACTGAATTCAGGGACTCCCGATCCAAGAAAGTGTGCAACTGGCATACAACATGAAATTGTGCAAAGGCTCTCGTAGCCGTGACTGCCACCTGCTCATTGAACAGGAGTCATGAGTCTAGGAGAACCCCCAGATTGTTTCTGTCTGGGGTACTCTGGGGTCCAGAACTAAATATGTTAAAGTCCCAGAACCGGAAGCTCCATGCACCCAAAGCCACTTAATCTTACCAGGATTCAGCTGAAGTTTGTTGTCCCCCATTGAGACCCCCACAGCCTCCAGGCACCATGAAAGGGCAGGGACAGCATCACTTAGAATAGATCACCCGGGATGGAGATGTAAACTTGAGTATCATCAGCGTACTAATGGTACCTCATCCCATGGTGGTGAATGATCTCACCCAGCAGCTTCATGTAAGTGTTAAAAAAGAGGGGATAGAGTACTGAACCCCACAGCTTGCCACAAAGGAACAGCTGTGAATTGGACCTCTCATTCCCTATGAACACCAATTGGCACTGGCCTTGGAGATAGGAGGCCAAACCAGTGCGAGACTGTGCTGCCCAGCTCCAAATCATGTAGCCTGCTCAAAAGGGTATCATGATCAATGGAATTGAAAATCACTGAAGGGTCAAGGAAAGCAAGAATGGTGCACAACTACCATCTTCTAGCTCTTGCCAGAGATCATTCATAAGTGAAACCAGTGCTGTTTCTTGTCCCATAACTGGGCCTTAAACCTGACTGGAAGGGATGTAGATTATCTGTTTCATTCAAGACCCTCTGAAGCTGCCAAGCAATCATCTTCTCTACCATTTTCCCCAATATACCTCCATTTCCAGTATAAAGATATAAGATTTGGCAAAAAACAAGTTTAGGTTTTTCCATTGCTTTTCAATCTTTCCCCCTCAAACTGTTAATATGTTTGTGACCACTAGATGACACTACTGCTATGTAACATTTATAAGCAGATACCTTTAAAAATTAGAAGGCCAGATCCTGAAGTTGAAACTCAAATACTTTGGCCACCTAATGAGAAGGAAGGACTCACTGGAGAAGAGCCTAATGCTGGGAAAGATGGAGGGCAAGAGAAGAAGGGGACGACAGAGAATGAGGTGGCTGGATGGAGTCACTGAAGCAGTAGGCGTGAGCTTAAATGGACTCCACAAGATGGTAGAGAACAGGAAGGCCTGGAGGAACGTTGTCCATGGGTCGCGATGGGTCGGACACAACTTCGCAACTAACAACAACAACAACCTTTAAAAATATTGTCAAAACAATTCTAGTTTGAGAAACTACCATTCCATAGATGTTATTAAGTTACAACTCCCAGAAACCCTCACTCACTGGCTGGGCCATCTCATCTTTCTGTTCAAATTAGTCACTCAAGGCAACTTATTCCATAAAACAAAAGAAAAACTTCAAAAGATAGACAATTTTGCATTTAAAGGCCAGATTAAGAAAATGTATTATTTACTGAACTTTTAGAGGCAGAGAGTATGAGGGATCAAAACGATTCCCAAGACAATTGCCTGAGACAGAGGTAAAAGGAAAAGCTCCTTTCCCACATGGCTGATAAACTGGTTTTCCAGGTTAAAACAAAAGAGATACTGAATAAGAAATACTCGAGCTGACTGAAGATTCCTTCCTTCTGATTCATCGTAACTTGTGTAGATATGAAAAGATTGAAAATTTGAAGTTTATATATATTTAAAATAATTATTATATCATGGGCTGTATAAGCATGGAAGAACATCCATTTTTATTTAGGGACAGAGCCCCTGAGGAAACAGGAAATCAAGATTTATACCTTTTAAAAGTTAATATTTTTGCTTCCTTCTCCTGTTGAATGAGTCCTTCTCAGATCCAGAACAAATTAACTTAATTTCTGTTTCATACATTAAAATCATATACAAATAGTACAGTTTTTTAAATGATTAATTCAAATATCATAAAACTCAGGTACTTCCGGCAAACCAGAAATTGTCAAGACTTACACTGTTAGTTTTTTAAATGTTTTGCAGGTCTAGATTATGACAAATAGATTCTAGGATACTAAATAACATTCTGTGTTTCTTGTTTCTTCTAGACTATGAGCCCGTTGACATGTTAAAATTGGTAGGATTGGGAATCTTTTTAAAATTGCACAATCAGCCATACTTTTACCAATAATTTCATCACTGCATTTCAATGTTTTTATTGATATTTCTTGCATTTTTAAATCTGACTAATTAAGAATTTGGAATTCCGCTCAGAGATATTGTCCAGAATGTATACAGCCATGATACAGTTCATAAAAACAAAGAAATAGACACTGATAACATTAATTCCCAGAATGTTCTGGGAAATGCATTAGGTAGAAGTCATATAAACCAGGTTTACCTTAATTGCTCATGTTGATTTTGAACAGACCAGCTAATTAATTTTTTTAAAATCTAATTTTATAAAAGAAATTTGAACTTATTTGTTTTTATTCTTCCTTATGAATACATGGCTTTGTTGGTTTCCATTCTTAATCTGAAAGTTTTTTTTTTTCAACAGTGCAACTCTGCAACAAACAGCAGATAGGCACGTAGAGAAGCTGAACGTTATTTGAGAATTGAGTTGCTTAATTCTTATTAACCTATTGTGCTCATAGCATTTATTTCTTTTAGAAAAATGCAAAAATGGTTTTGTAAATTCCACTGTTTAAAAAACATTTTTAAAATCAGACAATTTGAAATATGCATATTTTGTACAGTTCAAGTCAAACTAAATAAATTGTCCCTGAGTTATTTCCAAGAAAATTTTCCTTGCACATAGGAAATACTGTAATGGAATGATGGTTCCCATGATACCTCGTTCATTGTTCAGCCTAGAATGAAGACGAACCGTACATAATTCAATTTTATCTAATTTTATACCTAAAAGGGAAACCAGACCGACAATATTCCACAGTTCTTTATCATTATTTTCCAATCAAGCAGCACATACTTTTCAATTGTTCTAGATCAATAAATCCCAAATGCTTTATTTAAGATATAAATATTCCTTTTTGCCAAAGAGGAGAGAAATCATAAACCCTAAGACTTTTTGATATACCAGGAGTAAGCTACTTATGAAATTTTACAGCCTACTCAGGAATAACACTACCAGATTTTTTTTTCTATCTTAACCCATTTGAAAGGATAACAGGAGAAAGGAAAACATTTTGAAGTTAGGCGAGCCAACATGCCTACCTGAACAACAAATAATATACATTTTCAATAAATGAAACATAAGTATAAATATTTAAATGCAGTAAAACCCTTCATTAAAATAGATTTTTTTAATTTATAAAAATTATAAATCTTGTCCTTAAAGCATGTAAACATTACCAAGTAAGACTTGCATTTGGATAAAAAGTCCAGTTCTGTTATGTCCTTTAAAAAGAGTTTAAAATGAAGGTACGGTATGCCTTCTTTGTAACCTTTGTTCCAGGATCTTGGAGAGGAAGGGGTTTTTTTTTCCCCAGTCTTACTTTTATTTCTTGATTTTATTCCAGCTGTGTGCCTCCATTTCAATGGCCTGATTCCCTCTGCTGGGTTTTTGAGATTTGTTTGGTAGCACCAGCAATACCAATATACATAAAATATGCATATGGAAATACAGTGATCTGTAAGTGATGAGAGATAATATAGTTACCAACTGCAATACAGAACCATGGCTTTATTATACCACTTTAATAAGTTCCACATCTCAGCGAAAACCCATCATGACAGCTGAAGTGATATTCTGAGCAGATAATTTAAGGGGCTTTACATGGGACATTTCCTGTTCATCTGTTCACACACCTGTCCAGCCATTCTAATGCACAATTTGAAACTAAATACAAATAACTTACTTGTATAATTTAATTGTCGGCTCCACAGCAAGAAGAACAAATGGTGCCACAGTGTAGCAAACCGACAACTGAGTTGCCAACCAGGTAACCATGTCATAGCCCACCTTGAGCAGCTTGGATGAGATGAAGACGTGTCGACAATTGTTCCTAACCTTATAAAATAAAAATTGAAATGTTTTGAAATAATTTTTATAGAGTGCATCTCTCACAGATTTCTAATCTATGCATATGCCACTTGGTTTTGATAAAGTTTTGCTATATTGTATGAAAAGATTTGCTTTCTTTTTCCTACTACTAATTTTAAAAAAAACTTTCAAAAGTTATGAAGAAAAGTTAGTAAGATTCAGCAGCTGAGTGGAATCGGTAGGAATACTAACCCTATGAATAAGCCCTTCCATTTCAGTTGAGTTACACAAATGTTATAAATTTGATTAGAATTTTTCTCCAAGGGCCAAATCTGGTATTATAATGAGCATGTAAAGACTTTTCAGAAATGGAACATATTTATCTATACAAATAATAAAATTTTACTCACACCAATTCTTTAAACAGTTTTACATCTAAATTTCATTAAATAACAGGATCTAACTTACAAAATAATTTTTAAACAGGTTGCCCAATTATGTAAGAGCAGGAATGTGATACATATTCATAACTATGTTCATATATGATCAGAATGAGCAGTGAATTGAATTAAATTGAACTGAATGAGTGAACTGAACTTTTATTTGGCTAAATGTGATTCAACACACAACGAAATTGTCTCCACTATAGAAGTACTCAGTGTATATGCAAAGCAATAGAATAATAAGCATAATAATACCAATAAAAGGGGGAAGTAAAGAAGATAATAATAATACTACAGCCAGACTCTATGGGTTGATATACATATACATTAGACAGAGCTGTGAGAATTAGGTGTTCAGCAGAGTGATCGCACGGGGAAAAATTCTGTCTCTGTGTCTACTTGTTTTGGCATGCAATGCGCTATAGCATTGTTCTGAGGGGAGGAGTTGAAACAGTTTATGTCCAGGATGGGAGGGGTCTCCTTCTGACCTGTGCAATATACAGGTCTCCTATGGGAGGCAGGCTGGTTGCAATTGTTCTTTCTGCAGTCTTAACTATCCACTGGAATCTGTACCTGTCCTGTTTGGACAATTACAATAATAATAATACTCTTTTTCTATTCTATTATCCACACTGTCTCAAAAGCCTTAAATTCTACAACCAAAGAAACAGACAAAAGAGCATTGATTTCTAAATTTAAAGATTATTTTTTTTAAAAAAAACCAAGTGCACACTAGAGTTTTCAAAGCGCCCAGGATGCAGTGTCAAGGATTAGCTAATACAGATGCAAAATATGATTATTACATTAACAGATAGACAAGAAAAAAAACAATTCTGACTTTTGTAAGTCTCTATTGGTTTCAATAGGAGAAACTGTTCAATGTACTAATTATTCTAATATATAATGCTACTCAATGAAATATATAGGAAATGGGTGTACAGCACATACTTTCAAAAAACATGATGCTTGAGATAGACACAATTTAATATAATGAAGAGAAAATGTGCTCTGCTTTGGAAATCAGTAGCACATGTGGAATCTATGATTAATTTATCTGGGCATGTACCCACAGGAAAAAAAGGATTAACAGGGATACATACTCTTCTGGCTGCTAGTGTCATAAAGATGCCAGTGATAAACGTAAAATAATATCCAGGATAAACACCATGCCAAAGAGCTGAGAGAAGAAATGTTAAGGCTGTGGGATACCAAGAAGTCCGATCATAACATACACTGAGGAGAAAAATCAGAAAAAGATGTATAAATATTCAGGTTACATGCAATTATATCTGAGTGTATTACTATATCATAGAATCAGAAATGATTCCGATTCTTTCTCGGTTTCAATCAAAAATGTTCTTAGGAGTGTTATTAAGGACTAGATACTATTTACTGACTATTCTCCTAATTCGCTACACATAAAAGGAATGACAAAATATTCTGATTTTAAATACTGTCATTAATTGAATTCGGTTATTTCATACCTAGGTAAATCTGAAATCTTAAAAAAACAAATATCTAGCGCACCCAGTATTTGTGTGGCTCTTACAGTACATAACTTTACTTTTGATCAGAACCTTACATACCTTCTATTTATATTTCAGATTAACAGTTATGGTTACAATTATTTGTGGAAGCGTTGCTAAGGTGAGAAGTGCACAACATCTGATGTCTGAAGCAATTCTTTTATTGCCTTTGTCAGTGTTTAGAAAGATCACTTTTATAATTCCTAAATACATCTGGCAATGATCTAATAGTTAAATTATTTTTTTATGAAAAGGGATTCTCATCCTCCTCCATCAACAGGTGGAATTAAAATTGATCAATGGCGTAAGTTAAGAAGGCATCACTGTTCTTGAGCAACAAACGAGGAAAAAGATGGTTCTTCACAAAAAAAAAATTGTATCCAAAGCTCAAGCCACAATCATTTCAGTAAACAAGAAATCAGTACATTAGTGATAACAGCGTCCACATGTGCACGCACATACACACAAACACACACAAAAACATACTTTAAAGGACACAAAAATTAAAATGAAAGCATTTTAGCCTAAGGCTGTAGGTAAACTTCCAGAAATGGATACATGGAGTGCCAATATTAGTAGGCAGTATCATTTGAAATTTTATTTTAGGGACAGAAGCATATTGTGAAAATCTTTCTTTTTTTAAAAATCATTATAAAATGATGAGTATTCCAGGAAAAAAATATTTTTCATTTTCACTGAATGCAACACTGTATTCCTAAATTGTATTTTAAATAAAGATTGAACCACTGCTGAAGAAAACCACAAAACACTTAAGTTTTTTACCGTTTAAGCCAGGCAGTTGTTTGAATATTCCAGTTTTCTAAGTACATTTTAAAACTTGTTGCCATCTAAGAGTGAAACAAGCATGCATTATTAGGTTTCCTAATACTAAAAATGTCAGTTTCCATCTGTATTTTAAGTTACATTAGTTCTGTATGTTGCATTATAGCTATATATTTTTTCCTTCTTTTCCTTTATCAATAGTTTGCAATTTGGTGTTTCTTTATAAAGGTAATACACTTTTTAATTGGCAAAAGTCAATGAAAAACATATCATTTCACAAGTCTCTTTATTTTTAAATATTTGGGGTTTTGCAATTATTTTTAAATATTTGGGGTTTTGCAATTTTAAAGAAACATTTGTAGAAAAAAATCAGTGTTATTATATTTGGATATGAATAAGCAGGGGAGGAGGAGGAGGAGGAGAGGAAGAGGAAGAGGAGGAGGAGGAGGAGGAAGAGGAAGAGGAAGAGGAAGAAGAAGGAGGAGGAGGAGGAGGAGGAGGAGGAGGAGGAGGAGAGTGGCTTTTGCCCTTGTCTGCATATTGTACTAGTGCAGTAAATGCATGAAGTTTATTGTACGAAGTTTGGACTTTCTCCATTTTATTTAAACAAGTTCTTCTCCCTATGGGTCTGGAACAATTTCCAGTTCCATGTTATATCTAAAGAAGACTCTGGCCATAATACTTCAACTTACCTCAATATTCCTGATATTCAAATTAGATAGTAGATCCCAGCGATAATTGCCTTTCTCATCCACACCATTGAAACCAAAACCAGCTGCATTATTAATTGCATCAGCTGCAAAAAAAAGTAAAAAAAACTTAGGCTGAAATATAAAAACCTACCTGACATATATTTAACAATTAACAATGGTAAAAAAAGTAAGGTTCTACATTTAGGCAAGAAAAACAGGTACTGTATAGTATTCTTTGCTCAATAGTAGTAACTGTGAAAGGGATCTCGGTGCCCTAGTGGACAATCACTTAAATATGAGCCAGCAGTGTGCTGCAGCTGCCAAAAAACCCAACACAGTGCTAGGCTGCATTAACAGAGGGATAGAATCAAGATCACGTCAAGTATTAATACCACTTTACAAGGCCTTGGTAAGGCCACACTTGGAATACTGCATCCAATTTTGATCACCACGATGTAAAAAAGATGTTGAGACTCTAGAAAGAGTACAGAGAAGAGCAACAAAGATGATTAGGGAGCTGGAGGCTAAAACATATAAGGAACGGTTGCTGGAATTGGGCATGTCTAGTTTAATGAAGAGAAGGACGATGGGGGACATGATAGCAGTGTTCCAATATCTCAGGGGCTGCCACAAAGAAGAGGGAATCAAGCTATTCTCCAAAGCGCCTGAAGGCAGGGCGAGAAGCAATGGATGGAAACTAACCAAAGAGAGAAGCAACCTAGAACTAAGGAGAAACTTCCTGACAGTTAGAACAATTAACCAGTGGAACAACCTGCCTCCAGAAGCTGTGAATGCTCCAACACTGGAAGTTTTTAAGAAGAGACTGGACGCCATTTGTCTGAAATGGTATAGGGTTTCCTGCCTGAGCAGGGGTTGGACTAGATGACTCCAAGATCCCTTCCAACTTATTATTATTATTATTATTAGTAGTAGTAGTAGTAGTAGTAGTAGTAGTAATAGTAGTAGTAGTAATTCTTAGAATGATCCATCTGACGTTATGTTGTAATAGAACTATTTTTCAATTCCCACTTTATAAGGGAATTTATTAGGGAAGATATAAAATAGTTGTTTTAGAAACCATGAATTAAATTCTCTTTGTATATATAAAAGGCATCACTGGTTTTGGAAGTAGGCCTAATTTAGAAAGCAAATTCAAGGAAGCAAAAGCCACATTTATGTAAATATACTGTATAAATGTTAGTATCCAATTAACAGGCCAACTACTTCCAAATGAATGTAACAGCATTTTATTTAGAATTCCAACTCAGTTAAGTTTATGTTCAGAGTTAATAAATCAAATCAAACCAAATCAGTCCTGCAATAATATTTTAACTTTTAAAAAAACAGCTTTGGAATTTTAAGCACTTTGAAGACTGATTTTTTATTTGACTTCTAAATATTTAGTAAATCCATACTGTTTTCATATAAAAAGGGGGCTATCCTATTTATAAACAAGAATAACAGCAGTTTATTTGATCAAAAAATGTAATGTTCTGTAGATAAATTGTGTAGAGAAAAAAAGAGGGAATTAATGCTAGTATTAAGAAAAATGATAAACTCTAGGATTTACTGATAGAGAAAAGTACTTTGAGTAGCATTAATTCCCCCTTTTTTTCTCTACACAATTTATCTACAGAACATAATATTTTTTTGATCAAATAAACTGCTGTTATTCTTGTTTATAAATAGGACAGCCTCCTTTTTAGAAAAGCACTTTGCTTTTCTCCTTTCCCATTACAGAAAGGTATTTATTACCCACAAACTCAATTCTACATTTTGTTTCTAACAACAGAGGAACAAAATTCAAACTATCCAATGTATTCTTTTGCATTCTTCTACTTATGCATTTTAATTTGTATATGCATTGCCAATATTGATGCTTAAGGGAAAATCCTTTGCTATGGAGGTTGCTGTGTGCAGGCCATTCACAATAAATTGATTGCTACCGCTTTCAAGGAATATTACAAAATGAAAACACAAACTTAATTTTTTTGAGCTTTATTTATCCTCCAAAGTAAAAAAAAAAAAAAAAAGGAGTCGGTTTTAGCTCTTATTTGGGAATATCATACTCTGGACATTTTGGAATCCAAGTCAGTGTGTGACTCATCTTTGCCTCAAAGTCTCATCATAACCTGTCCACATACTGTATAATTGTGTAAGTACAATTTACTGGCTTTGCCCAACACACTACGCCAAAAACTAAACAAACCATAATGTGATTTAGCAGATTGTTCATATCCTTTGCAGAGCATAACTTGATCCAGTACGCCTGTTCCATTCTGTTTCTGTCTGGATTGTTTTTAAGCCTGAAAATATCTATTGAACTTTAAGCCAGCTGAATTTGAAGGCAGCAGCAAAGTACAATGGCTGCTCTGCTTTGGGGCTTGCAAAAAATGCAAACACTTCTTAAAATGCAGCCATATTTTAAGCAGCATTAGTTTGTGACAGGTATCTTTTTATTCCTAAAAATGTCTATCTGATCTTCTCATAAACACTATTTTGGGAAAGGGGTGGGTGGGAGAAGGAGGCAAAAGACACCTCTCTTTCTTTCAAAAGGTTATCCAGGAAAGGGAAGTAAAACACCTAGGGGTGCAGGCATTCTCTAAAACAGGGGTCTTCAAACTTGGCCCTTTTATGACTGGTGGACTTCAACTCCCAGAATTCCTCAGCCAGGCACGCTGGCTGAGGAATTCTGGGAGTTGAAGTCCACCAGTCATAAAAGGGCCAAGTTTGAAGACCCCTGCTCTAAAAGATGCTTCACTCTCCAGCAGCTGTGTGTAGAAGCAGCCTTTTCTCAGCCCATCTCATATTTGATGAAGAATGCAAAGTGAACTACTTTCTAACATGCAGCTATGGATGCCATAAGTCAGATATTTTCATTCCTAAAATTAGGCTTTCTGTATGGCTTCCATCCTGAGCGAGAATCGGTTCACGTTAGAATTACGATCCTCTGCATATTGCATAGTTTGTGGCAGGATCTGTGGTTGACTTTGCTGAAACCAGGGGTAGGCAACCTTGGCTCTTTTATGACTCGTGGACTTCAACTCCCAGAATTCCTGAGCCAGCATGGCTGGCTCAGGAATTCTGGGAGTTGAAGTCCACGAGTCATTAAAGAGCCAAGGTTGCCTACCCCTGGCCTAAACTGTTCTTCTCCTGGAAAAGTTAGACCAGCCTTTGCTAACCTGATGAACTGGAGTGTTTAGATTTCAATTCCTATAACAAGCTCAACCATTATAAGATTGTGGGATACGATCCAACATATCAGGAAGATACTAAGACTTAATCTAGGTGGGTGTTGCTATACAGATAGTCCTTGACTTACAACAGTTCATTTATTGACCGTTCGAAGCTACAACAGCACTGAAAAAGGTGACTTATGACCATTTTTCACACTTATGACCATTTCATCATTCCCTTGGTCCTGTGATCAAAATGTGGATGCTTGGCAACTGACTCATATTTATGACGGTTGCAGTGTCCCGGGATCATGCAATCAACTTTTGCGACCTTCTTATAAGCAAAGTAAATGGGGAAGCCAGATTCACTTAACAACTGTGCTACTAACTTAACAACTGCAATGATTCATTTAACAACTGTGGAAAGAAAGGTCATAAAATTTCCTTAACAAATGTTTCCCTTAGCAACAGAAATTTGGGGTGAATTGTGGTCGTAAATCAAGGACTAGCTGCATTTGATAATTATAATGGACTGAAATATTATTGATGTCCTGGACTGTGTGCTTGACATCAAAGTAAAAACTGCTATAGAACTGAAAAGACATGCTCAGCACAAAGTAAGTAAGTAAGTCTAAATAAAAATATTATCAGATGTTTAATGCATATATGAATTTTACCTTGTCCGATATCCTCTGACACTTACTCAGACTAGTCAATAGATGTGCATCTCTCATTAGAAAAGTCACAAAGTTTAATCAGAAATAATGTGCTTAATGTCAAGGGTATAATACAGTGATATTCCTTTGTTTTATGCCTTGATTGATAAAATGGATACATCTACATTAAGCATAAGCATGCCCTGAAAAACAATCTTAAATAAACCTTACCCAGTGTCCAAGCAAAGTAGTATTTTGGCTTTGAGGCCTGCATGACAACATATAGAAAACCAAGTCTTGTCAAAAATGAAGATTGATTCATAAATTGATCATCAACAATGTAAGTTGCTGGGAAGGTCTTGGTAAGCGTCAAGAACACCACCAGAGACACAAGTGTGATACCAAGTTTCTGCTGAATGGCTCCCTACAAAGAAAACAGAATAATACAACAGTGTGAGAGAATAACATCTGAGAGAATAAAGCCTTTTAAAAAAAGTGTTTTAAGAAATAAACTACTGAAAAGTATGATTCATTGCATTTGCTAATTTTGAAAAAGGTATTTTCTTCTGGATTATTACTATTAATGATATGATCTCTAGCTGTGGAGACAGCAGCACTGCCTCTTAACAGTCAGAGCTGGGAAACATACGTATAAGCATAAGATGTGAGCTTGTGAGCTGCTCCGAAGTTTCTACTAAAGGAACAGAGTGCAGGACGTGAAGGTTTTTCTCCTAAACCAGGAGAGCTCTTTTTATATATATATATTTTTTATCATAACTGATACTGTTTATTGTGAAAACAATTTCAACATTAAGGCTTAGCATTTTGTAGCTTACCACTGGAGAAGGATCAGGAAATCTCTCACTACTCCTCTGTTTCCAGCTGACCTTTAATAACTTCATCTGCACGTGTCTCCCTTCAATGAAAGCTATATAATCCTTAAAATTGCTGCATGGGCCAGCAATAATACTCATGAAGTTGAGCTGATAGCTCAGGTACTCCAGTAAGGAAGGTCTTGTCCTGTAAAAACAAACATGAATTATGTATAAATGTAGATTTCAAATACTTTTTGAAATAAGCAATTATTAAATGTTTAAATAAATGACACTTTTAAACATAGTTCAAGTCTGAGAAAGAAAAACTAGTGAAACATGTAATAAATTTACAGGACACAATCGTTTGGAGGACATTGTCAAGAGTGAAAATCCTCGTACAATGACATTTGGAGATTGATTATTTCTTGAATAAAACAATTTGTGTAGGCAAGAGAGACAGAAAGAATTCATCTATGAGATTATCTGATTAGGCAATTACTCTATTTATACATAGGTATTTGTGTAAGGATGTATATTCAAATCTTCTCAACTACATCTTCTCAACTATTATCATTGTCTAACATTTCACTTCTTGCTAAAGCAGACATGAAATCCTTAACTATAACTGTCTCTTCTGCAACTGGGGTATTTGTGTCAGGCATAAAAATCAGGAACCAAGGTTGTTCAAATAAGTACAAGTTTACTTCATGCTAGTTCTCTACAAGAATCCGAACTACTAATGGCCAAAGCAAAATGGCGGTAGATAAGAATCAATGGTATTCAAGATGGACTTAGATCTCTTGTGCGCGTGAAGGGACTTCAAGCTGATGACACACTCCCTCAGGCTCAGCCTGGTCATCTCCTACAATTTGTTTAAATAGGATACATGGTGCACATATAGAAAAATAAAGCTAGAATTAAAAATCTCCTTTTGAGAGCCTTCTAATACATGATGTTCAGTTTAAATATTTGTACGTGCATCTTATTTATAATGGGAGAAAATCCAGTTAAAATCAATCCTATTCTTCATATATTTAGATCATAGAAATAATAAAATTATAATTTCATAAAACATAAAATAATTTCAGAATTTAAAAGTGCACGGATCATTATTTACACTACATTAACATTAAATAGAAACTGCGTAGCAGAAGTAAGCATCTAAGATAACCCAGGTATTAGATTTTTAAAAATCGTTAAGTGCCACTGTATTTTCTTACTTTATAGCAAGCTGATTCTGTTCAAAAGTTAGATCTTCTGCTTTTTTACCTATTCCTATTGAAAAGACATAACAATTAAATCAAGCTTTGCAGAAGGGAGACAACTATAGACACTAAAATTAAATTCTAATGAAAATTCATACATTACTGGATGCTGCATATAACCCACATTTATTTTCTGAGGGCTTCAAAAAGGGGATCTGGGCTGTCGACCAGTATCTTAGATAATTCCTAGAAATTATGTTGGCTTATGGGTAAAGGAATGCTTGTTATATACATTTATTATAAACTTATATTAATTGAAGTTTCATAGCTCGTCAGATTAATCAGTTATCCCAGCACTCTTCTTATCAGACTGTAATTTCAAAATAGCTGATAAAATATAGCTTTTAATAACATGTGTGTTTTTTGCCAAAAGTCCTAGGCACTGCCAGGAACCTTTGTTTAAAAGAATAGGAGAATGGCAGCTAGAAACTTATTAACCGTCTGGGTAGACTGTATTACACATTAGTGTAATAAAATAATAAAAAGCAATGTTCCTATAAAATGAGATGAGATTAACTTTACAGTTTTATATGAACATACTAAAAGTCTCATTGAACGGACTTCTGAGCAAAAATTGGACCATGAGATAAATTCTTATTTGGACCTACAGTATCTGGTCTATCAATGTCCTCAGGCCTTCAGGAGTTAGAACTGACGTTTTTCCAAACAACGTAGACTACAGAGTTGAAAAAAACATAATGGAAGTAGAGAAGTACAGAATCCTTCCATACAATTACCAAGAAAACTGTATCAATGTGATGATGTAGTCTCCCAAGGAACCAGTCTTAATGTGAGGGAAATTTTAATCTTTTTTTAAAAAAACAATTAGACTCAATCTACTTTAAGTAATTTGGGATGGGCCAAAATTTCACATAGTATATCATTGACATGACACTGAATAGAGAAAATTATTTAAATCCTTCCCCGACACACACACAAGAATTATCTAAATGTTCTCATTCATTTCAGTCTCTTTCCTTGTAATGCAGGTAAGGCAGAACATAATGTTTCAAAACACTGTTAAGGGAGTCTTAAACCTACAAATGTTCATTCTAAAATAAATATTGATATTTTTGCTTTCAAGGGGAAAATGAAATTGATAATTATTATGTAAAAACAGAGTCTACGCAGCTTTTAAACTCTCCCATAACTAACAAAACCATTTAATTGGTTAAGAAACTCTGGACAGTCTGGACGGTTTCATTTGTTTCTTTGATAATTTATATCTTTTCCTCCAGGAGCTACATGGGGTGCATATTCAAATAGCTTCCATGGTTGAGGTTTGACTAGGAACTAGAGTGCCTGAGTCCTAGTGAGTCATTAGCTACCACATCTTTTTCTTATTTTTTAATCCTTTCATAAATATGACTCAGTCCATCAAAACAATAAGAATGTAATTTCTGACAACTTATTTATTATTTATATATATTTGTAATTTTTTCCAGTTCTATTCTATTTATTAAAAAAACACCAGAACAAATAAGGGTTAAATAAGTAAAACTGTCCATAGACTTCAGGTTTTTTTTTAATTATTATTATTACCAAATCTTAATTGTAACAAGATGACTTCAAGATCTTGGCAGAGACAACATATACTGACTACTTTTTCCCCAAACATTGCCAATGTCTATTTATTTAGAGAATTTTACATACAAAATGGAAAATGAAAAATAGAAAAATAATCTTCCTTACCATCATGAACCTGAAATGCAAGAGTTGTGATCTTTTGTGTTACAATCATCAATGGGCTGTAATAAAATGCAGAAAGATAGCATTTTCATGCTCCAATGTGTTTATATTTTTCACCTTCATGTATTCTTATGATTTAAACAAGCTGTAGATCAGATATTTTTGTACCAATTCCCATCAGGCACAGATAACATGGCAAAGACAATGGGTTATAAGAGATATTAAAGTCCAGAATATCCAGAAATGTTTTATATACACACAGACACAGACAACAGACAACAGACAACAGACACACAGACACACACACACATATATACATACATACATACACATATATACATATACATACAAACAGAGAGAGAGAAAGAGAGACTGTGTTCACACAGCACAGGAAGATATAATTTGCTTAAGCCTGGGTTATTGATTAAACCATAATGAGTTGCATTCATATAACCATCATAAACTATAATTAACAAACTATAAGAGACGGATTCACCGACTGTACTAAACAAAATTGAGCCAGTTTGACTATGGTTTAACAACTTGTATGAGCTCAGCTATACAGAATTATTTGTATCAGGACAATAATCTAAGTTAGGCAATCTGACATACTAGGCTTCCTATGTGTCTGAAAAAAGTAAAACTTGTCTCTTCCCTGTTCAGAATTGATATTTGATGTGGGTTTGAAATTTCATAAGCTAAGATAATGTTGGAAATCAATCATTTATGCACATTCCATACAAACATGCCTACAATTGCAATGGTAGTTCAATGGTAGCAAGAGCCCTTTATACATCAGGATTCACCTGCTGAAATGGACACTTACAGGGCTACCCTGAAGACTGTTTATAAGTTACAAACTGCATAAAATGTGCTTATTTGCTATATGACAAGGAGAGCAAACTACTAAACAATTTCTTGCTGTTTTGTTGGTAGCATAAATGTATATTTTAATATAAATGTATACATAAATGTATACTTTATACAATTGTAAAGTTTTATATTTTAATGCATGTTTAGCTTTAGGAATTTGTTCCGAACAGTAATATTCCACAGCGGTGGCAAGACTACAAACCCTGCATTTGAAACAGCTGTTCAGCAATAAGTTGATTACATTCCCTTGTCAGCACATCCTCTTGATCAATTACTTCTGTGTTTAAACACACAGCTTACAAGTCAAGCCCATTTTGTAGCAAATTCATTACAAGTTGATCTCCAGGTACACATAGTTCAAATGACATTGTATCTTCCCAAATGTGCTTGCGTATATAATTAACAAGCATTGTAGCTTGCTTTGTAGAGAAACATTGTAATGAACTTAATCTGTGCACTTTCAGCTAAACACCAGAATCCAAGCCACAGCCAAGATATTAGCTTAATTTAAGACACTTTCTCTATCTCAGTAATTCCTAACTTTAATTTCTCATGTGAGCTAAAATAACAATGTTTTGTGAGGATGAAGCTATTTACACATACATTAAACAAGGCCACCCTAAAAGCACCTAACACTGTGAGTGGGGTGATCACTTTCATTTACTGTACTTTTTCCACTACTAGAAGCAGTGAGTTTCAAAAATTAGTAACAGAATAATAAATACTGAATAATTCTAATTCTAATTCAGCAACTAGATTTGAGGCTGATTCTATCAAGGAGACAAGCAACCTGGAATTAAGAAGAAACTTCCTAACAGTGAGAACAATTAAACAGTGGAACGACTTGCCTTCAGACATTGTGGGTGTTTCTTCACTGGAGGTTTTTAAGAAGAGACTGGACAGCCACTTGTCTGAAATGGTATAGGTTCTCCTGTTTGAACAGGGGGTTGGACTAGAAGACCTCCAAGGTCCCTTCCAGCTCTATTCTATTCTGAATACATGTATATATACACACACATACTCTTTAAGATGAATTAAAATAAGTCTTGACATTCTGTATTTCAGTGATTACATGTGGGACTTATTGTGGCAATTTGTGTTCAGCAGAGTGATGGCACAAGAGAAAAAACAGTCCCTATGTCTAGTTGTCTTTGCATACAATGTCCTATACCACCATCCCGGGGGAAGGAGTTGAAACAGTTTGTATCCAGGATGTAAGGACTGAGAAGATAGCTGCAGACCCTTCACATCCTGAACATAAATTGTTACAACTTTTCCCCTCGGGATGGCACTTTCCAGTTTCCCCCCCCCCTCATGCCATCACTCTGTTGAGCACCTAATTCTCACAGTTCTATCAAATGTGTACGTATATCAACCCACAGAGTGTGGCTATGGTGTTATTATTTATTCCTTTTATGAACTTATTATTATTTTCTTTGTTGCCTTGCAAGTACACCAAGTGTTTCTGTGCTGGAGAAAATTCCTTGTGTCTCTAATCACCCTTGGCCAAATCAAGTATTCAAGTCACTGGACTTTGTGGCTGCCTGGTGATGCTAGGGCTTCAAGCTGGCTGGTGTGGGGCTGGTGCTTGAGGTGACACTTCAGCCAGCACTGGGACAATGGCAATGGGCTAAAATTGTTGAAGGGTGGCACCGCCGAGGAATGCTGTGTCAGGCCTTACACCACAGCAAGCCCCTCACTCCCTGGCACCTGCCACGACAGCTACTCTGCAGACAGGCTCTCTCCTTATGGCCTGTCTGGGACTCCTACCTCTTCCTATATCGCGGTCATGCAAGGTTCTTGCTTAACGACCTGCAGTCGTGGGGTCACCACAGCAACTGGAATTGCCAAAATGTTCATTTGCTAAACAACGCGGTCACATGAGGTTGAAGTTTATGACCTCATCTCACTTAGCAATGGAAATCCCAGTCCCAACTGCCATTGTAACCCGAGAACTGTAAACGTAATTTCCAGGCAAAGCCTGGATGAGAATACAGACAGGCCAACACTATTTGAAGTTATAGTAGGGCTGAACAAATGGTAATTATTTGTCCATGAAGTGCTACCTGCAGTCGCATGATCAATATTTGGGTGCTTTACAGCCTACCTGCATTTATAACCGCAGGGGCACTTCAAGTCCCCCCAACCCGCCCTTCTGTCCTTCATCTCTGCCCTTTTAGCAACCTGCATATCAGCACTCCTTGCTGGTGGCATTGGGGCTGAAGTAGAGGCGTAGGGCCTTTAGCAGTCTCAACTGGCCACGACTGACCCCAGGGTTTAGCCCCAGGGTTGCCAGCACCCCTGAGAAGGGCCACCTCAAGTCTTCCATGGTAATGGAATTATTCCAGCTAAAATATTTGTACTTTCAGTTCAAATTTTATTTTTAACCATTTATGAAAATTTTGATGTCTTTCCTTCCAATACTCTTGAGGTTTCTTTTGTGTGATTACCGCATGTGGCAAAATCCTTTTTTGTTGTAGCATTTCTAAGACTTTGTTAAGTCTTAGATCTCTGTTGATTTAGGGGCACTTTCCCAACCCAACGTTCTTGAAGCGTATCCACTTGTGCTGTTATGGAATTAAAGGCTTTGTGATCCAGAATATCTAAAGGAAATGTTCCCGTCACTGGCAACAGCACCTCCCAAACTCCTGTCTGAATTGTACTAGGTTCTCGTGACTCATTGTATTGTGAGTCTATTTCCCACAACCCTTAATTAATATACCATAAATTTGCAGCTGAAGCCATTGAAATGGCTAGATTCAAAAGTTAAAAGGGCAAGGAATCCTTTCAACAAGTCTGATAAGGATGCATGCTGAAATACCATTTTTACTGTACAACATTAAAGCTGCAGGATTTTATTCATTAAGCATGCCTTTGTATTTCTGGAACAATGAAAAAAATGAAGTGCTCCAACTAGTCCAGTGATGGCGAACCTTTTAGAGACCGAGTGCCCAAACTGTAACCCAAAACCCACTTATGCATCGTCGGGTGCCGGGTGGGTGTGGCCCATTGGGTGGGCGTGGCCCATTGGGTGGGCGTGGCTGTGGTGGTAACGGCAGACTGGGTGGGACTAAAAAGTTCAATCAATCAATTCCAACTTTGCAAGATTTTTTTCCCATGAGAAGTTGAAATTGACTGATTGATTGAGCCTTTTTTTTTTTTTGCACACGGCGGCGGAGGCCTAAAGCAAAAAGGTTTTATAAAACCCAGCTGAAGGCCTAGGACTGGGGTGACAGCGCGCGTGCCCACAGAGAGGGCTCTGAGTGCCGCCTCTGGCACCCATGCCATAGGTTCGCCACCACTGAACTAGTCAAATATCTAAACAAAGATCTCTTGATTAACTTGTCCTCTGTGTCTGAATTATAAACCGGTGTTAAAACTGGGAAAAAAGAAACTTACCAAGACCATAAAAGAGTAAGACATGAAAAATTATAAAAAATATAAAACTATAGTTATAAATGTATTAAATTATTTTTAAAAATGCAAAAAAAACCAAACCAGGACAACTAATGAGTTCATAAATGCAGGTTTATCAGAATATTTTGATCTTTAAGCAAGTAGAAAAATCATTGTATAAAACTATATTTTAAATAAGATGTTTGGATACATTCAGACTGGCCATGGTTAGTTACTGTGTATAAGTAATCTGCAATGTTTAAAAGACTATTTTCAATAGAAAGTTACTAATTCTATCTATGCCAGGTGAACCAATTAAACTTCATAGATTTAAAAATGAACTAAATACACTTTAAGAAAAGAGCTGCAGCAAAAGGACAAAAATAAAACAGCACTGTATTTATTCCTGGAAAAGACACGTTATAAAGAATACATTTCTAATTTTTGAAAACATACGTATAGTTCCAATATTCATCTTCTCACTTTGGGCCCTGTCAACAGGCCCGATTCATTTGAAATGTAAATACTTCCTAAAAGCCTGGAAGATTATTTTCCTCACCAACAGTTTAAAATTCATCTAGTTCCATCATCTACATGTCCATTGTGACATATTATTAATTCCGATGAAATAAATCGTATGATACTGAATTCTTCTTATTTCTATTTATTATAGTATGAAAATATGTATTATTACTACTTACCCTGAGAAATCTGTAGTGAGAATACCATACTGGAATATATATATTCGGCTAATATGGCACAGTGTGAGGTATCCCATAGCTACCAAAAAAGAATACCTAGAATCATATGCATTGATAGTATGAAACACTTCAGCCAGAACATTGTAGTCAAAATAAATGTAAGTACAGTAGAACCTGGCTCCCAATGGAGCTATTTATTTTGCTTAGGTTTGCTTGCCTCTGATCTATTATCAAAAAGTTTAGACAGCAAATTTTCATAATTTCTTATGGCTTTCTTATAATCTGTGGATCTGAAAACTACAGCTAAAATATAACCAATCTCAAATAAAAACAGTTTTAGTGGAATTGATGTCTTGGTTTGGTCTACGTGATGGGGCTGACATCAATCTTGTAAATCTGATTGTGCTGTATCTCCTCCTCCTTATAGTTCAGTGAATTAGGAAGGTGTCTGTCTGAGCCATTTCAGAGTATTTTCTGTCTGTTATAGACTTAAGAGTCACCTTCTAGAGGAGATATGTGGCAAATATATATTTAATAAATGAATAAAAATATACAGCATTTCAACCCATCACCCTGTTGTTGGATTTTGTATATCTCCATCGAGGTAATCTTCCTCGCTTTTTGTAATAAGTACATTTAATCAGTACTCCACATTGCCTTAAAATGGTGAAATAAGAGGTGCCACAAGACAGGAACACAAGGTCATAAGCAACCATTAATCAGATCCAGTAAAGAAACGTAAAGAAACAACAACATTTTAAAATATTACAGTTTTTAACACTTACGATAGACATACAAACTTACCTATGAATGTTGGCAATACTGGCCATGTTCATGATGAAATAACTTATCATCACTAAAGTGAAAATATGGATGGAGTACCTTGGAAGAGAAGAAGAAAAGAAATTCCATTTTCCAAGTGATAGCTAACAGACAACAACACTTTTCTGAATTAACTAAAGGTGAAGGAGTCCCTGCGGATTTTTACTCCACTAGTCGTTGCAGACTCTAGGGGGCGGTGCTCATCTCCGGTTCAAGACCATTGGGCTAGTGCTATCTGAAGATATATGTGGTCATGTGGCCAGCATGACATCATTGAGCATTGTTACTTCCCACCGAAGTGGTACCTATCTATCTACTTGCATTTGTATGCTTTCAACTGCTAGGTGGACAGGAACAGGGGGGAGGATGCGAGCTCATCCCATCGTGTGGTGCTCAGGTCTCGAACCTGGGCTGCCAGCTTTCCAACCGAGAAGCCCAGCATCTTAACCGTTGAGCCACCGCGCCACCCTCAAATTAACTAAAACTTATGTAGAAACAATCCAATCATGAAAATCTATCTGAACAAGTGTTTACTTTTTTTTAAAAAAAAGTAAACTCCTTGGCTCTTGCTCTCTTCCTCTTAAATCACAGACTGAATATGTGCTCCTTTCTTGGAAAATCTACTTGCTGATAAAACAGCTTTGACGTTTTGTTTTCATAATGTTATGGTTGCCCAACAGAATGTTTTACAATTCCCAGAATACAAGCTACTAAATTCATAGTCAAAGTGAATAGAAAGTTAGACAGAAATGACTCACCAACCAAAGCAGAAGAGGGCAAAATATATTCCCAAAATTGTGGCAAATGCATGACGAACACCAGAGTTGGCTTGACTAGGCTTTAAGTACAAGCGAAACCAAAATGCAGCCAAGAGAGCACAAAGCTGACAAGCAACGAAATTGACCTAAAAGAATATGAAAATAGATTGGAAACTCTCATTATCATTAGCAAGAAAAAAACTGTCATAAAATCCTGGAGATGTTGTAGGACAGAAGTCCCCAACCTGTGGGCCACGGCCCACTACCGGGCCATGGGCTGTTGGCCACTGGGCCGCCTGAATGGCTGGCCAGTGCATGCATGTATCCGTGCACATACACCCCCACTCACGCTAGCGTCACAGCATTGCATGGGTGCTGGCGATACCGTGAGCATCATACAGGGGCTAGCTAGCGTCACGAGCACAACTGACACTCGCGCTAGCATCGCAGGGAGCACTGTATAGGTAGGTAAGTAGGTAGATAACAGATAGATAGATAGATAGATAGATAGATAGGTAGGTAGGTAGGTAGGTAGGTAGGTAGGTAGGTAGGTAGATAGATACCGTATATTCCGGTGTATAAGACGACCCCTGACTTTTGAGAAGATTTTCAGGGTTTAGAAAGTCGTCTTATACGCCGGAAAATACGGTAGATAGACAGACAGACAGACAGACAGACAGACAGACAGACAGACAGACAGACAGACAATATTGCAAATGAGTAAATCGCCTTTGGTGTTTATTTCAAGCAAAAAAAGCCTTTGCATTTAATCGAGATTCGTTTTTAAAATCCAGACTCATAGTGCAGTTCTACATATGTTTATTTAGGTACAGATCCACTGAGTTCAGAGGGGCTTGCAAGCTTTTTAGGAAGGAAAGTTGCTTTCTAAAAACATTTCTCTGAATACAAAGGCAAGCAAGAAAATTAGCCAAATTAATTCTAAAGATTTACTCAACATAAATAAATAGAAGCACGTTGTGGCCTACTGCTACACGATCACAATTTGCAGAATTAAAGAACGGAATACAAACATTCATATTGGGCAATTTCTCATGAGGTTTTCATGTGCTAAAATAGTCATCACCAATAAACACATACACAAGCTTCTCTGTTCTCTAGTCCAGGGCTCTTCCCTGACAAAATAAGCAAGGAATTATGTCTTTTTTTCATACTTCATTATTTCTTCCTCTTCCCATTTCTGTAATATCATGCTTAATGAAAAGTTCTGAGAATTCAAAAGGCTACATATAATTCAGCTGGCTTTATTTTAATGAGATAGGCATTTCAAGCCATATCTAGCACAAAACTTTGCTAAAATCAGAATGTTTACCTATGATACACATAATGTAACAGAGCCTTATTTCAGAAAATAACAAGCAATTGCCTGCTGAAGGCAAAGCAACCAGATGAATACTTTTGTAGAATGTAGATTATTCTGAAATAGAAAATCATAATCTTCTCACAAAATACTAAAACATGTATTTATTAATACGTATCTTATTTGAATTAAATTGAAATGAATTGAATACTTTATTTGGCCAAGTGTGATCAAACCCACAAGGAATCTGTCTCTGACGCAGAAACTCAATACACATGCAAAGAAAAAGAATAATTATAATTATAATAATACCAATAAGGGGGGGAAGCATTATTTCATCTTGTGTATTTCATCTTCTGTATTTTGTACCACGACATTGATTTTATCAGTAAGTACTACTCTTTTCCTATTTTAAATAATCTAAAAAGCTCCTGAGATTCCAAATTGAACATTGGAACATTTCCTCTTTGTAGACCACCTACTGTGAAGCAGATAACCTGTCAGGAGAAGACAACCCTGATTATGAAGTCCATTAAGTCAGCACAACATGAAAAGGGAAAGTATTTCAAGTTAACGTTAAGAATAATTTTGAAGATTCTTACACATGACAGTCAGATATTATTATAGCCTATGTGGCGGTTGAAGAAAACGATGGCTTTGATATAGACATTTTTTCTCTGTGTCTCAATATTACTAAGATATTTCTGATTATTCTATTCTAAACAAGCAAAACTTATGGGGAGGCTGGTCATTAATTGTCATCAGTTATAAGAGCTTACTTGGTCCAAACAAACGTCTTGGGGCATGGAGGTAAAACCTCATGTAGTTTCTCTCGCCATGCCATTCCCACACAGTAAAACTATTTGTACTGTGATAAACTGAGGAAATTTGAATCTGGTCCTAGTAAAGAAATAAAAAGGTATACTCTGGAAACAGTGCAGGTAAGAACAACAAAAATGATTAGAGGGCTGGAGGCTAAAACATATACAGAACGATTGCAGGAATTGGGTATGTCTAGTCCAGGGGTAGGCAACCTTGGCTCTTTTATGACTCGTGGACTTCAACTCCCAGAATTCTGGGAGTTGAAGTCCACGAGTCATAAAAGAGCCAAGGTTGCTTACCCCTGGTTTAGTCTAATAAAAGGAAGGACTAGGAGTGACATGACAGCAGTGTTCCAATATCTATCTATCTATCTATCTATCTATCTATCTATCTATCTATCTATCTATCTATCTATCTATCTATCTATCTATATCTATATATATATATATATATATATATATATATATATATATATATATATATATATATATATATATATATATATATATATATATATATATATATATATGTATCTATGCATATGTAAAGTAGGATAAAAATCTAGTCATCATTACCTGTACCAAAATTGTTCAAAGGTGAGGACAGTCTTAATATGTAACCATATAGTTCAAGATTTTTGCAGCAGAATAATTGATATAGCTTTTAATAATGTTTTAATGTATTTATTGTTTTTAAATTAAGCACTGTACACAGCCCAAGGGCAGCATGATGACTCAGCGATTAATATGTTTGGCTTGCCAATGGAGTGAGCTCCTGTCCGCACCTTAGCTCCTGCCAAACTAGCAGCTTGAAAGTATGTACATGCAAGTAGATAAATAGGTACCACTTCAGTGGGAAGGTAATAATGCTCCATGATGTCATTCTGGTTACATGACCATGGAAATGTCTTCAAACAGTGCTGGTTCAATAGCCTTAAAACAAAAATGAGCACTGCCCTCTATAGTTGGCTATTACTAGTGAAGTAAAATCTGAAGACTCCTTTACCTTACTTTACACAGCCCAAAGTCACTTTTTTATAAGATGGGTGGCCATACAAATCAGGTAGAATAGCTAGCTAGCTAGCTAGACACATACAGACAGACAGACAGATAATATACCCCAACCCACCATCCCATACCAGGTGTAATATATGGGCTATACAAGTAAAATGTTTGGACAGATAAATCTCTATATTAAAAAAAGCTTACCTAGGAATCAAATCCTATTTAAAAGAAACAGTAGCCAATGGAGACCTGGGCTGATCTGTTTCTTTTTACGTTTTCAAGTAATATCCATGTCCACTCAACACTGATATGTTTGAAAATATTCTACAAACTATTATATATTTAAACTAAATTGGCAGAACTTACATTTCATGTTTGAATCAGTGTATGAATGTGGTCTAAACAAAGACAATATGCCACAACAAAAAGGTTTAGAGAAGTATAATGAATGCAATTGGTACAAAATAGATTTAGTTAGCCTTCCTAGCTTTTATTTCTTATCTTTAATTTATTTTGCTTAATTACTTCTTCTTTTCCATGATATACTGTTTATTTTGAAAACAACATTGTGGATGTGTATTAAATTCTACTCATTTAAAAAAGTTCCTGCTGCATAAGACTAAAATCATTCTTGCCTGAACTAGTTCACCCTTGCTTATGTTTTTTTTTAACTCCTATAACAATCTACATTTCTGTCTGGTTTATCTGTCAATACAATCTAGTGAGCCAGTTGCTGTTAATATAGCACATACTTCCTCATTGCTGAAGAAATACAATTTCCTTGTTGCAGAAAGCAAAAAAGCCAACAGGTGTCAGAATAAAAAGAAAATCTAATATCAGATTACCAGTCTCTTTTGAGGTCATAGAATAAATTCAGTTTTCCAACAAGCCTTAAGAAAAACATTTTAAACAGAATTCCATCACAACTACAACTATCTCACTCTCCTCCCAAATGTATCAGTCTGTACAAGACAACTACAATGGTGCAACACAAGCAAATACACTGCTCCAAAGAAGATTATTTCCTGCAAATGCACTTCTCCTATAGGAGACATGGACAGTTGCAAATAGCCAAAAACAATTGCTCTAATTGAGAATATTCATTTATAACAGAACAGCACGCAAAACAAATCAGACTACTGCCAATGCTGCTGTCACACAAAAGAGTTGCTTTGATCCAATAGCTCAAGAATGAGCATCATTCCAAGAATTCATGAAAAATTAAGCATAACAATCTGAGACAATCTGTTCATGAAAATATCCAAGATGTGGGCAGGCTTAATATATTAATAAAAATATTTAACACTTGTAAGGATATATGGCAGGGGTAGGCAACCTTGGCTCTTTTATGACTCGTGGACTTCAACTCCCAGAATTCCTGAGCCAGCCATGCTGAGGGAAAAGGGAGAGGTTTCCAAGCTAAGCCATGATGGCTCAGGAATGCTGGGAGTTGAAGTCCATGAGTGATAAAAGAGCCAAGGTTGTCTACCCCTGATATATGGTAAAGCTATTTAGTTAAATACTTGTAACCAAACTAAAAACTTGTTTCTCAAGATTTTAGAAACTTGTTGCAATGCAATTGTCACATACATCATTGCATAAGTTTAACAACTGTCACAAGCCAAGGCCAAACCATGCTATGGTGTATCATGTGTGTGAATTATGACAAAACCGCATACCTGTATCTTGGAGCAAGTTTTTTTTAAAAAACTAAGCTCCTAATAGGAGTACAATCAAGGTTACAACTGCTCTATGTAGTATATGGCCACTAATCCCCCCCCCCAAAAAAAACCCTTCAGAGCATACTGTTATTTACTCAGAATCATCATGCATTGGATTTTCTACAAGGATTGAGGCCTGGTGTCCTCTCTGTACCTTAGATTCCCGCTATATCGGCTTTGTACAAACGAAACTTCATAGCCTTCTAAAGCCTGATTACAAAGTCCGGTTTTGCAAAAATAAAAACAATGGCTATTTCTGAGTTGGGTGTAGACATTAAGGAAGATGACAGCGATGGGAGGCATGCAGAAGCCGTTGCCTAGGCAAAAGAGGCAGAAACATTTTGTAACTCCAGAACAGCGAGATAGTATTTGGAAGTAGCCCAGCTCCTCAACTCACTTAACTGTAAGAGAAGGAAGAGGCACAACAAAATCAGATTTGCAAGATTCTGTAATTACAGCTAATATCAATAAAAGAACTTTCAATCTTCTGGTGGAATTGATTTCCTGGTGTGGTCTATCTAGTACAGTTGACGCTGAAGACACAAAAAGCTACAAAGCCTCATTTCGCCATATAATAAGAAATACAAGGCAGGCAGCATATTACCCAAGATGTCTGGATTAGTGTAACATGAATAGAGCCTAAGGATATCAAAAATTCCCTCTGCTGCTAGACATATAACACTTAACATGGTGATACTGCAAACCATGACTTTAGCCAAGTACAGAATCAAAATGAAGAGTCTTAGAAAGCATATTTGATACTGTATGTTGTCTTTGTAATGAAACAAAGGCAATTGCAGCATTTGTTTCATTACAAGTGGCACTTTATAATCAAGTCAACTGCAGTCCCTTGCACATTTATTTTGAAGCAAGTTTCATAATACTCAGTGAAGTTGATAAGCTTCCTATCTGCCAAAGCATTATACATATATATTTGCATATACTCTTCCGTCTGGAAAGAAAGGATTAAAAATATTTTAAACAAATAAACCTGGGACAAGTGACTTCATTAAAAGTAACAATAGTTTTAATGAACTTCCTCCTCTACAGAAATTTTACCTCTCTTCACCTCAGAGCAGCCGCAAGATTAGTCTGAATCTGGATAGTTTTGCCATGAAAAGGAAAAAAATTGTATTTACAGCACTGCCAATGTTATTTTTTTTTTTTAAAACAAAAACAAGAACACATTGCTATTCTTTTACAAAGCAAAATTAAGGCAGATTGTGGATAAGGAAGTTCCATATGCGAAATAATAAAAAATATCTGCAGCAGTGCCTTGTGCTGCCACCCTCCCTCCCTCCCCCTTTTTACTATTTCCTGCACTTAATTCGTGATTCTTTCCGTTTTCCCCCTTCTGTCCTCCTCGCGGTTCTTAGACCCAAACTAAATCACATCCCATCCCATTATTAGCTTTCAACTAAAACCTGTAACCACTGAGCTTCACTTCCCTCGTTTTAGAGCAAAGCACATCACTTTATCAGCTATTTCCCTCCCGCCGGCGATCAGCGAAGTGTCGTTGGCTGCTACCCCTCGCACCCCCCCCTTGACCCAAAGGCAATTGGACTTCCTCGGTTGGACTTTTCTTTCTAGAAAACTGAAGAAGCTTCTTGGATGAGAAGCGAAACGTTTTCAAAGAAAGTAAGAAAAAAAAGAAAGTCCAGCTGTCTTTTTGGGGGAAAAAAGCCACCTTTGGGGGACAACCATGGCCTGGGTGATTGAGATTGTCCACAGATGTTCATTGCAAAGGGAAACCGCGATCGGTTAACTCACCTGTGCTAGGGGGATGCCGAAAAGGTCGCTAACGGGGTGCAAGAAAGTGGAACCCGTGGTCTTAAGGAGAATTCTGCCTGCTTCGGTCATCCTGCATTCCGGCCGGCCAAAAGCCGCCTTCCTCGCTTCCTCCGGACCCAGCCCAACGCTGGAGCAGACTCACATAGATACACAACTCAGCACCAACGCAACCGCGCGTCTCTCGCCGCTTTCTGATTGGCTGACTGCGGCTCCCGCCTTGCTTTTCCCCCAGTTCCGCGCAGAACGAAAGCCCGGCGCGAGGGAGAGTCCCAGAAACTTGCAGCCAAAAAGGGAAGCCAGCTCCTCCTAAGCGGGTGGGGTCCGGGCCGCCGTCCAGATTCTCGAGCGAGCAAACGCCCCAGGAAGGAGGAATCTGCTCGGAAGCGACGGGGTGGGTCGCTCTCTGCGCGCCTTCGGCTCCAACCACCCGGGGAAGGCCATCTTTCCGGGTTTGGCTTCGAGCGACAAGCTTTCAAGTTTTCTTGCAGGCATTCGGAGCCCGACGTTGCAGAGCCAGCAGGGCTGGAGCGTTGGAGTTTTTTTTTTCCCCCCCCCCCGCGGGTTCAAAAACAGGTCATGGGGAGGTATGCGCGTACACAGAGCTCTGGTGTACGCGCATACCTCCCCAGATTGAGGCCTGGGTGGTCCAGCCGAATCTTAGGTTTCCACGATCACGCATCGTGGAGTTCCTTTTGAGGCCAAAGCCAAACAGCCGCCAGTCTTTTTCCCGGCGGGAATCGTGGCATTGAGAGAAGCTGGAATTCCAGTCCCTTTTTCTTTAGGCCAGGGGCTCTTCAAACTTGGCAACTTTTAAGACTTGTGGACTTCAACTCCCAGAATTCCCCAACCGGCTAGGGAATTCTGGGAGTTGAAGTCCACAAGTCTTAAAAGTTGCCAAGTTTGAAAACTCCTGGTGCAGGTGCTAATTTCAGAGTTCTGAGGAGAGGCTGCTTGTAGGGCTACCATATGTAGCCTGCAGATAGCTGGAAAGGCCGCTGGACAAAGCTCAGTTCTGATTTTGAAGCTTGGCGCTTTATTTCATTTCATTTCTTTGACTTTGATGCCTCACTCAAGTTTTTTGTGAGAGCCTGAAGGGTGCACTGGTTAAGACATCCGGCTAGAAACTGGGAGACCATAGTTCAAGTGCTGCTTTTTTAGACACAAAACTAGCTGGGTGACCTTGGACAGTCACTCTCTTTCAGCCCTAGGAAGGAGGCAGTGGCAATCCATTTCTGATAAATCTTGCCAGGAAAACTGCAGCTGATAGCCTAGGGCAGGGATCTCCAACCCCTAGTCCGTGGACCAGTACCGGACCGAAGCATGCCAGCAACCAGTCCGCACAAACAAGCAAAGCCCCATCCACGAGATGCAGACAGCGCACAAAACCACGCACTCTTCGGTCCACAGAAAAACCTCTCTCCACAGAACTGGTCTCTGGTGCCCAAAAGGTTGGGGACCTCTGGCCTAGGGCCCGGGTGTCAAACTCGATCGCATCACATGACATATTGTGACATATCGCAACGTTTTTTGCTTTTGCGGAGCTGGGGTGACCGTGGGCTGTGTATGACACATCCAGCCAGCGGGCCACCAGTTTGACACCTCTGGTTTAGGGACTCAGCAGGAGTTAGAAATTGGCTTGAAAGTGCCCACACACAAACATATTCTCTCCTGAGCAGAAATGCTGCCCAAGGCCTGTTCTCCAAAAGTATCCTTTGACTGCTACTGCATTTTATCTATAGATCATTTTCCACAGGCCAGGCAGTTGTAACACAGGTTTTGGTGACTGTAGCGTGCAAATGACAACAGGACACGCCAAATTACAAGATTGCTAAACAGGTGAAAGGCAAATAGGCTGTTCATATAGCAGCTTTTTTAATTCATGGGATTGAAGCAGCTTTCAGAGGCAGGTCATGAGCCCATCTAGCTAAAGTGATTGGCTACTCAGCATTTCAGGAGCCCCTAAAGTCTCACCAACAGTTCTGAAACAACTAGAAACTCGCCATGCCAGCAAAGATTGTCGGTCATATGTTACCTTAGTTCCACCACTAATACTGTTAAGAATTTTTTGTATGACTTATAACATGCGATTAGCGGGTTGTTCATTACCACATAGCTGAATTTGTGGATAAAGGATTTTTAAAAAAACTATAGAAAGCATTTTTAAAACAAGGAAAGATGATCAGGCTCATACTGTGTATTTCAGATGCCTTTTCTACTTTGGCAAAGATTAAAATTTGGTGCCCTAGGGCAGGGCTTTTCAACTGGTGGTACGCATACCACCTGTGGTACATTGGCCCGTGGCAGGTGGTATATGGCCTTGCCGCACAGCGTTAAGAGCAGAGTGGCGGGAAGATATTTGTAATGAGGGAGGGAGAAAAACAGGCCTCCCCTGAAGGAGATCAGAAATGGCCCTTGCCCTCTTCACACACCTGTGGACTCCGGGGGGGGGGAACACCACAAGCATCATGAAAGTTCACGTTACCTGTGCTATGTCGCCCAGACCCCAGCCTGGTTTTGGCAGGCAGCGGCGTGCTCTCACTGCGTGAGATGGCTGGGCCAAGTGAGGCAAACCGGCGACATGCCGAACCTGCCTGGGCAGAAGCAATGATGAGCGCATGCGCCTGGCATCCCAGGTGAAACGGAAGTACTCGGAACATGGTCAGCTTGCATGGCAAAACAGTCACCTGGGGCGCCAGGCACATGCACTCACCGCTGCCTCTGCACATGCCCAGGCAGGTTCGGCATGTCGCCGGTTCGCCTCGCTCAGCCCAGCCACTCCGCACAGTGAGAGCGCGCCGCTGCCTGCTGAAACCAGGCTGGGGTCTGGGCGGCGTAGTGCAGGTAACGTGGACTGTCATGCCGCTCACAGTGTCCCCTCCCCCTGGAGTCCACGGGTGTGTGAAGAGGGTGAGGGCCATTTGCTGATCTCCTTCAGGGGATGCCTGTTTTTCTCCCTCCCTCATTATAAATATCTTCCCACCACTCTGCTCTTAACGCTATGCGGCTCTTGTCCAGCAATTTACAGCACAGCCATAGCCTGCCCCCTTCCCCTTGTCCCTTCCTGGGCACGGAGGGAGGGAGGAAGGAAGGGACGGAGGGAGGGAGGGAATGAAGGAAGGGACAATGGGAAGGAAAGAAGCGCCAACCCCAGTCCCACCCCCCTCCACCAGAGACCCACGAATCCACCACACAGCCCCACCCGCACTCCCCACAGGTGCCCTGTGACCTGAGTGATGTTGAGCTGGCCATGCCCCCCCTCCCAGCCATTGACTTGTCAAAAAATTGCAAAAGGTGATCACATGACCCTGGGACACTGTGACTGTCATAAGTATGAATCAGTTGCAAAGCATCCGAATGTAAATCACATGATCCTGGGGATGCTGCAATAGTCATAAGTGTGAAAAATGGTCATAAGACACTTTTTTCAGTGCCGTTTTAACTTCGAACAGTCACTAAGCGAACTGTTGTAAGTCGAGGACTACCTGTACTTTTATCACTTTTTCCCTTTTTTTTGGTCATCAAGTTTTTGACACCTTGCTAGGCGACTGATGGTACTCAGATATTGCCATATCCTAAAAGTGATACAACGGGTGAAAAGGTTGAAAAGCCGTTGCCTAGGCCTAGAACCAGCCCTGACTGAGCAAACAATTACACAAGATAGCAGCTCAGTAATATGGATCGTGCACATTCTTCATCCCCCCAGATATTCTGTTCTGTGCTTTGCTTTTTCTACTTTGCAGAGGGCCATAATGTGGGCTGATCTGACTTGGGGAATGGTTGTTTCATTGCATAAGGGTATTAACAGGAAAACATTGTTCCCTTCATGATAATAGGGAGCATTAGTAGATTTTATTGGGGAGTGGGCAAAGGAATCCATGCTCTGACACCTTTCATGAATAGCCAGCCTGCATTCATAATGCTGCAATCTCACTCTCAGTCTAAATGACAGTGTTGAGTCAGAATTCATAACTTTTCTTACAGTTCAGTTTTTAGCACATCATCCAGGAGACTGCATGATTTTGCTGTGCCTGAGCTAGGAAAAGAAAGGGGAGTGTACTACCTCACCCAAGACTCTGATAAAGGACCCAATTAATCCAAGTGGCTAACCCAAGCGGTTTAGATAAAAAGAAGAGTTTGCTTCAGGATTTGGGCCATGTCTAAGAAACAGCAAAAAGCTTTAAACAAAAGCCATATCAAAATTTAATTTAATAATAATAATAGTAAAGTTGGAAGGGACCTTGAAGGTCATCTAGTCCAACCCCCTGCTCAGGCAGGAAACCCTATACCATTTCGGACAAATGGCTGTCCAGTCTCTTTTTTAAAACTTCCAGAGTTGGAGCATTCACCGCTTCTGGAGGCAGATTGTTCCACTGGTTAATTGTTCTCACTGTCAGGAAGTTTCTCCTTAGTTCTAGATTGCTTCTCTCCTTGATTAGTTTCCACCCGTTGCTTCTTGTCCTGCCTCCAGGCGCTTTGGAAAATAGCTTGACTCCCTCTTCTTTATGGCAGCCTCTGAGATATTGGAACACTGCTATCTTGTCCCCCCTCGTCCTTCTCTTCATTAAACTAGACATACCTAATTCCAGCAGCCGTTCCTTATATGCTTTAGCCTCCAGTCCCCCAATCATCTTTGTTGCTCTTCTCTGTACTCTTTCTAAAGTCTCAACATCTTTTTTACATTAAGCTGTATACACTTAAGATCAGTTTTTTAAATACTTCAGTACAAGCTCAATAACTATGTTTTATGGCAGCCTTGATCTGTATGAGGCATGTATCAGATGACCTCTTGTTTTCTATTTTAATATCTTATAGTAGATCAGTGCCACCTTATGGTCTGTTCAGAATATTACACTTCTTGTACTTTTTTCTTTTAACCAAGCAATGTCTACCTCGTGTGACATGTAAGATTAGCATTTGATGTGTTTATATTAAAAATATTTTTACAGTTTTACAGAGCCAGTTTGATGTAATAGTCAAGGTGCTGGCCTAGAAACCAGGAGGGTGTGAGTTCTAGTCCTACCTTACGCATGAAACCCAGCTGAGTGACTTTGGGCCAGTCACTCTCCTTCAACCCAACTCATCTCACAGGGTTGTTGTGGGGAAGATAGGAGGAGGAAGGAAGGAGTAGTAGGTATGTTCTCTGCCTTGAGTAACTT